TAAAATGCTTTGAGGCGTGGTATAAGAGTAGTTTTGATATCTCCATAAGAAGATTACTACCTAATCACTACAAAATTAAGTTTTGATTGCAACAATAATGTGACAGAATATGAAGCATGTTATGGGTCTTCGAGCTACTCTTGAAAGGAAAGCCCATACATTGAAAGTATATAGAGACTCTGCCTTGATCATATACCAATTGCAAAGAGAATAGGAAACCAAAGATTCAAAGTTGATTTTATACCAAAAGTATATATCAAAATTGATCAAAAAATTTAAGAATATTTGGTTTCATCATTTATCTAAACAAGAGAATTAAATAGTTGATGTTATGGCTACATTGGTGGCAATGTTCAAGTTAAATAAAAATACTGAAGTCCAACCCATCAAGTTAAGCTTGTAAGAGAAACTAGCTCATTGTTCAAATGTTGAAGAAGAATTAATGGAAAGCCATGGCATTCTAACATGTTACAATACGTTAAGTGTCAGTAATACCCAAAGCACATATCAAAAAATGATAAAAGAATTTTAAGAAGATTGGCAATAGATTTCTTTTTGGATAGAGAAATTTTATATAAGAGAAGTCAGAACCAAACATTATTGAGATATGTAAATGCTGTTCAAACCAAAAAGTTAGTAGAAGAAATCCACAGAGGTGTTTGTGAAACTCATAAAAATGGCCACAAGATAACTAAGCAAATCTTGAGAGCAAGATACTATTGGCTGACAATGAAAAAAAATCATATTGATTATGCTAGAAAATACCACAAATATCAAATTTATGTAGACAAGATGTAAGTTCCTCCAACATCCTTGCTTGTTTTGTCAACATCTTAATCTTTTTCTATGTAGGAATAAATGTGATAGAGCTCATTATACTAAAAACTTTAAATGGACATCGATTCATTTTAGTTGTGATGGACTACTTCATAAATTGGGTAGAGATGGCTTCATATGCTAATATGATAAAAATGATGGTTTACAAATTTATTAAAAAAAGAGAGATCATATGCCAATATGGACTTTTAAAAAAGATAATTTTGAATAATGCTCTTAATTTAAATATCAGAATGATGAGTGCGGTTTACGCTCAGTTCAAAATCAAACATAACAAATTGATGTCTTATTATCTGAAGATGAATGGGGTAGTCAAAGTGGACAATAAGAACATAAAAAAAATTATTAAAAAAGATGATAGATTTGTATAAAGATTAGCATGAAAATCTACCATTTGTATTACATGCTTATCGAACTTTGATTCTTATATCTACATGAGCTACACCATTTTCATTAGTATATGGAATAGAGGCAGTGTTACCTATTGAAGTTGAAATTCATTCCTTATGCATTCTTCTAAAAGTCGAGTGGAAGAAGCTAAGTGGATTCGTATTCGTTATGAATAATTGAATCTCATTGAAGAAAAGAGACTAACGGTGCTTTGCCATGGTTAACGATATCAAAAAAGAATGATGCAAGCTTATGATAAGAAAGTTCACTTTCGCGATTTCAAAAAGGAAAATTAGTTTTGAAGAAGATTTTTTCTAACCAATAAGATCTTCGAGGAAAATGGACTACTAATTAAAAAGGCCCATATGTGATAAAAAAATTATTCTCTAGTAGGGCACTGATCTTGGCAAGAATAGATATGGATGATTTGCCAAATCCAGTAAATGTCGATGCAATAAAAAAGTACTATACTTTAAAAAAAAAAAAAGATGAAAAGGTAAAATGAAATGAAAAGATATCTAAGTTAAAAACTTTAAAGGGCAACTTAGATAAAGAAGCATTTAATGGAGTGAAACAATTCTCAATACATGCTAGAAGATCTCATTAGTTTTGGGCTAACTGGGTTTGTTACATTTCAGAAACTCAAAGGCCATCAATCAAGAATTTTTATAAAAGAATCCATGATGAACTAGTTCATGATGATCTAAATATTCGTTATGTGATTACTTATTTTTCTTATTATATCTTTTTGGATAATGCATGAAACACTTCTCCCTTTTTTTGAAATAAAATACACTATTGTTTATCTTTACTTTATCCTTCTCATTAAAAAAAGAAATTTGTAATGTGTTATAATTGTCATGATATTCAAAAGATGAGTGAACAACAATGACCATAAAAGACACATATTATTTTGAAAAAAATTTAAAATGACAAGCAAAATAATAAGGAACAAAAGTTAAGGAGAAAATAGGCCTATAAGTCATAAAAATTGTAGACCTTGAAAATGAGAAATCATGGAGAAAAACCTTATTATCCAAACTTAAATAGTTGTTAGAATACATGGGATTCAAAAAGAAAAAGGGAAACAGACAATGAGAAATTTCGTGGATTAAAAAAAATGGCATAAAATGAAAAAAAAAAAGTGGTCTCTTTATTTGCATCATGATCATCATCATTGCATGATATTGCAAAAGTATGAAAATGTCATTCATGCACACATGTGACACAACAAATATATGGGTCTAAAGACAGTTCAAGACCAATAAAAAGAAAAGTTAAAAGTAAAAAAAGATGTAAACCCTTTATTTAGAAGAATCTTTCAAATACCATTACTTCATAGATTTTTAATTTAAAGTGTCATTACTTCTGGTCGAAGAAACTATTTAAAGTTTCATTGCCTCTTGTCACATAAGCCTTTTAAATTTAAAGTTGCATTTCCTCTAGTCAGATAAGCTATTTAAGGTTTTATTACTTCTGGTCAAATTAGCTTTTTTTAAAATATCATAGCCTCTGATCAGAGGAGCTATTTAAAGTTTCATAACTTATGGTCAAAGGGGTTTTTTAATTTTAAAAGCCTCTACTTATAGGACTTGATTAAAATTAGACATGATTTGTAAGACCAATGGGTATAATCTATAAGACTTCTCATTATTCTAAAATTTCATTGCCTCTGGTTAGAAGAGCTTTTTAAATTCTAAAGTTTCATTGCCTTTGGTTAGATGACCCTTTTGATGTTAAAGTTTCAGTGCCTCTTATCAGAGGAGTCTTTTTAAATTTTCAAGAATTATTGAGCCTCTGCTAAAAAGAGCTTTTAAATTTTCAAAAGTTGTCAAGCCTCTACTTAGTGGAGTTTTCCAAATTTTCTTTCCAAAAAAAAAGAGATTAAAGGTGTTCATATTTATAACATCATCCAGATAAAATAGTCATCTTTTTGTTTTTGCTCTATTCTTGATTCTCAGCAATGTGCAAAGAGAGGCAACTATGGGCACATATTTTATCCAAAACAAAAAATAATAATAAATAAATAAAATTAAAAAAAGAAAAAAAAGTCAAAATCTTGGTTTCAACTTTGGTAGCTGAAATCAAGCTGCTAAAGTGATTTTTTTTCTTCTACCACAAACCTAATTTTGTATCATGAATTAAGAGGGCCATGAAAGTCTTCTTGAATCCCAAATTATCTAGGATTTGAATACTCAAAAAGGCTCTATAAATGGAGCCAAAACACTACAAAAAAAAGAGAACACAGAGGAGTCTAAAAAGATTGCTAAAAAAAAAAGAACCAAAAAAGAGAACACTACAAAAAAAATGAACAAAGGGCATTTTTTTTAGGCAGCTACTAGGTTCAAAAAACACACATAGGCACCAAATAAACAACACAATCCTCTCATAGAAAGAACCACTAACAAAGAAAAAAATTTTGTTTGTAAAAACAAAATTTTTTTTAAAATTAAAACTGGAAACCTTTATCTAGGAGGCTTAGGATTTTTTTGAAAAATCTATTTTAGGAAAAGTGTTTAGAATAGAAAAAGGAGTGATCTGAAAATTTTGGAAAAATTTTGAAAATTTTGGAAAAATTTTGAAAATTTTGAAAATTTTTTCAAAATTTTTGGGATCACCGGATTCTAGAAAATGTTTGAATTTTTTGGCAACTGATGAATTTTTCGGTGGCCATTTAAATCTTTCGACCACCAAATTCTAGAATTTTTTGAGTTTTCTGGTGCCAATTGAATTTTTTAGTGATGACATAATGGCGGCCAGTTGAAAACTGGATAGCTACAGTTGCCAATGAAAGGAGATTTGGGTTTTAGATAGAGAGGCTCTGAGGTAAAGAAAGAGGGGTAAAAGAAAAAAATGAAAAATATTTTCATTTTTTAGCCTCTTACAGCCTCTTCAAAAAAACTTTTTTTGGCGTCTAAACTATACTTAATCCATGTTAGGATCCATACATGGACCTGTGCCTAATCCAACCTAGTGGTGGTTTTTCTTTTTTTTGTTTCTTTTATTTTTTTATTTTATTTTTATTTTCATTTTATTATTTTATTTGTTTTATTTATTTTATAATATTATTTATTTATTTATTTAATATTTTATTTTTTTGGTGAAATAAATAAATAATGGTAGAAACATAAAATTAAAATAAAGGTAGGTTTACTAAAATGAAAATGAATAAAATCTTAAAAGTAAACTTAAAAAAGAATTGAATCAAGTTTATTTCTAAGAGCAAAATATTTCTTGAATTTCGTTAAAGTATTAGAATAATTCAAGAAATTATTTTTGTTACATAATAAAAAATAAAAAATAATAATAATAATAATATTTAATGAGGGCTCAACCCTGGACCTGGGGGCACAACTTAGCCGCAAAATAAAGCTAAATATTATTTAATGAGTTAGAACATCATGATACTGAGTAATTATTTGCATCATTAAGAAAGGTGACATGTCTTTGTCTCCTTTGTCTCTCGAAACAGATGAAACACGAAGATATCGTGATAACAAATTTGTCCATTGGGACACCCTTTTCTTATCCACCTCTCCTTCAAGATCTGTATATTTGCCTCTCTGGATTAGATATTTGCTTCTTTGGACTAGCTTAAAATTGCCTTATTGGCTTGCCTCTATCAATATTCCCTTTTAACTGAACCCAACTCCAGTCCCACTCTACATGAGTCGTTTATATGCAAAGGGAACGCGCACTGGAAAAGAATTTTGAGGTTATTGGGTCAGTGAATAATTTGGAGCTTTGTTTTATTTGTCTAGTTCCTTAGCTTCGCCTCGAAGGTTCAATACGAGATGAGTTTGTAAACTGTCAGAATTAAGTTCATCAATCCATTTTTACCTTTGAAGTACTATCACTGAAATATTTTGTATCAAATTAACATTATAATTAAGTACAGAAATATGGAACTATCATAGATAGAATCAACTATTTAAAGTTTAAACAAAAAGCTCTTTTATTTATCTCCTACATAAATCTGTTCAATTTCTACGTACCATGTTGTTTAAGCGGGCATATACACCTGCAACGATCAAAGGATATTGCTTTTCGCCCCCTGATGATTAATAATTTCCGTTGGGGGTCCCTTTGATTGTTGATAACCTCTCCAATAAAAGGTTAAACTCGTCATCAGAACTCAGCATGCTAATCCTGGTATACTTTGATCCAACACCAAAATTCGTCCCGCCCCTTGTCACTATCTTATGTTCTCTTAAGAGATTGTCACAGTTCAAGCCCTCCTTGCTCTTCAACCATGCAAAGGCTGTATCAGAAGAAGAAACCAAGAAACAAAAAAGTTTCATCAATATTGAAATTAGTGTGCAAATGATGCCCGCCATTAATTAATTTTTATGCTGCATTACCAGGGCTATAATCAGTGTATTCGCCACTGAAGTTGCAGTAGTCTGGCGAGTACTTGGGCAGACTGAAAACTCCATTGCGTTTAACCACTTCGCGCAGCTTTTCCCATCTTTCAGACATGAGGCGCTGTCCATATTCAAAGAAATTTTCTTCTTTGATAGGTCCAGAATTCAGGCAGTCGTTGCTGATAACTCCTAGAATCTTGGCAGCCCGGAGTTGCGATTCTTTGGATACCCCAATGCTGTTAAGCTCTATGAACTTCACCATCTTGGTTGCAATTTCTTTATCTTTAACAATAGCCCAGCTGCAGAATAAAAAGGTTATAAATTAAGTGGTCAAGATTTTTCTTGATTAATTATATCATGGCAGAAGATTCTTACCCAATGCGAGAACCAGCATGTCCTGTGGCTTTGGAGAAGGTAAAAAGCATAACATCATAATCAGCCCTAGCAGTAATGGAGGTGTATTGAGGCCAATAGTAGGCCAGGTCGTGAATAAGTTTGCCACCTTTACGATTCACCACTGCTTCTCGAATTGCACCGTCAGGGTTGTTGGGTAAAGTGACCACCTCTATGTAAGGCCCATCTTTATTAAAGGAGTATGCATCACCTGCCCATTTGTACAGCCCTGAACGCAGGAACTCCGTCTCCTCTGGATATGACTGCAACCAAGGTAAATGTTAGTCAACAGTGGTTAAAATTTCATTCGTGGTTGTAATCTTTTGAAGACATAAAAACACATTAGAATGTGCAAGGAAAGCATGTTAATGATCATTTAAAATATTATTTTATTTGTATAAGAGGATTCCGTGGTTTCCGGGAACCGTGAATAACATGCTAAATGTCAGCTTTTGTATATCAAAAACTGCTCAAATTTTATATGATTGAGTCCGTCACCAATAAATCCTAGTGCCTGCTAATTCCTGCTTGATGCAGCTGATTAAACTTGGCACGTAAATCAATGTCATTTTCTCGTAAAATTGGTGCAGAAAATGCCAAAAGTGACTCTTTACACCAAGTTTGGAACCAGACCGTAGATGATCTGGGGTTGATCCGCCACATGCTTCAAAAACTAGACATGCCCATGTTACCATGTTCGCCCTAAAGATCCAAAACAAAGCTACATGCATATGTTTGGTAGTTGTTTCTAAATCCTATGTGTTTAATAGAAAACATGTTTGTCCCTTTGTCGCGTTTCGTTCTCAGTAACTTGTCTACATTCCCTTTGACAACAAACGTTCCCAATGTGATTGAAAAATGGAACCAATTGCTTCAATGGAAGAAGTTTTTCAGAGATTAAACATGTAGAAAGGCGCAACACGCAAACCAGAGGCCCTTCCCGGAACCAGCCTCAATTAAAGAGTAGAGCCTACCAAATCCAACAGGAGAAGTGCAAAACATTGATTTGACTAAACTGAGGAGTGGTGTTAAAATGTTAAAAGAAAAAAAAGTCAAATCTCTGAAGCCAACCAATATCAACGGTTACAATTGTATCAGAGGATTACCGAGTAGAAAGGGGCAGCAGCTACCACACTGATGGGCTCAGGCTCATTAGGAGAAGAAAAAGCATAGAGCAAAGCATGGAAGAGCTGGGTCGAGCCAGTCCCCACCACGATGAATCGATCATCGTCAGCTATTGCATTCCCGACCACGCCATGCAATCTCCGAATGGCATGATCAAGCTCCGGCATCAAAAACCAGCACAGGTTTCCTGGGTCGCTGAAGTAGCTCATCAAATCGTTGCCAGAAATCACCATTGAACACCTGTCACCCAACTTCCTCCAGTATGACTCGTATATTGTAGGATCACCACTGTTGAAAATTCCATCATCGTATAAATTATCAATCACTCGGACAGGCAATAAACTGAAAGCTATTCAAAACCCAAAACTCCTAACCCCAAATGTATCTATATCATATTGCATTGCATGCATCAATCAAAGTAGGATTTGTAAGCCAACAATATTGGAGTGTTCAGTATAACCAAATAAAATGGAATATTAATGTAGTAGTCACACTCACAACCACCCATGGAAAGGGAAAAAAGAACATAATTATTGCCAGGGAAATCGACGCAGGCAATGGACAAACCGAGCAAAGTTGATGACAGAGTCGGAGGAGAGAGTAGGAGGCGTCTTTTTGGCAGAGGAAATGGCGGATTTGGTAGCAGTAACTGCGTTATCAATACCGACCACCATCCTGGCTTCTCCAAAAGTGATTGTAAAATAACTTTTCTGCCTGTATATATAATAAAGGGACCTCTCTCAGGGAAGGATAGTGGAACGTGGAGATGGGTATTATAGGGGGGAAGAAATGCTGTAGATTGGAAGGTTCATGAACCCTAACTCAGAGTTTTTTCCCAAACTACGACACTTCGAAACTTTATTTCCCTGACCAGAGTACTTTTAAACTTAATCCCTAAACAAAGGTACTCTACATTATTTGGACTACAAATCAGCGTACTTTTTCCATGTCAATATCTCATATTAATAAAATAAAAATAATTTATTTCTACTTACTTATAACAATCACATTCTTATCTTTATCAAAATAATCTCTATCTCATTCTATTTTTTTACACTAAAATCAATCTCAAAATTTATATTTCTCTGTCTTATTCTAATTTTCTTATTCTAAAATCAATTCCAAAATTTATACCAATGATTACATACCCACATGAAAAAGTATAATCTTTGTCAAAATAATCTTTATATCTCATTCTATTTATCTTACTCCAAAATTAATATCAAAGTACATATAAATAATTGCATATCGACATGAATAAGCATAACTTGAATGACAGTAAAAAAAAAAAGCTACAAAACTCGAGAAGTAGTAAAAATGAAATCATCAAACTTGGATTCTATTTGCCTCTCCAGAATTTTAAAAAAAAAAAATCTTATTAATTTTGATGATATAACCTTTTTTTTCCCCAATTCTTTAATCTTTCATCTCTCCCTAATTTGAAGTAGTGGATTTTAAAATCTTACAAAAAAGAATTGTCATTTTGAAATCATCTTCTCCTGGTGCTTAGGTTTCCCTTTAGATGAGAAACGTACAAAGTGGACAACATTATAATGGATCCTTGTTGCAACCAAACCCATATCCAATATGGAAATCAAACATATGGACACACATGTCTTCTCCTTCAGCAAGGAACTTATTGTTATGTTTTTGTCTGATTTTAAATTGCAATAGAATTTTTTTTTTTTAATTTTCTTATGAATAATTGCCATAAACAAAAATTCTCTAATGAATGCAAATCAAAGCTTACTCTCTTTTTTTTTTTGTAATAATATATTTGTCTCATAATTGAGATCTAAAGCAATATTGATTTTGGAGAATGGTTTTGTGAAAAAAAAAATTGAATGTATGTGTTAAAAACGTACAAGAGAGAAACAAAACGTAAATTCAAAAGAAAACGATAGGTGGAATAAAATGCTGACATGTAGGTTAATTGACTCAAAATAACTTTATTTTGAAATAAAATTTAAGAATACCCTTACTAAAGAAATAAGATTAAAAAGCAACTTACTTTGGGAAAAAGCTCTTAATTTAGGTTTCCCACAAAATTGTCGGATACTGTTTAAAGGGAACCCAACAAAAAAGTCCTTGAAAGGCAGAAAATCTCGGAATCACAATGACTGTATCTAAAGGAATACTTACTATATATGCTAAACCTAACCAAATCACGTTCTCCAGTAAATTAAAACTGGAATTTCTATAATTGGTTTTTCTTTTTATATATTTAAAATTGTTTCATATTGAATTTTGATAACTAAATGCTCTAGAACTAGACTTGGTTTATTATAGTAACCGTTAGAAAATTTAGGGAATGAAATATGAAAAATAAAAATAATAATTAATAAGAAATAAAAATGAGTTTGAGTGGTGTAGAACATTTACATAAAACTTATAATTTTTTTACGAAATATACGACAAAACTTCAAAAGTTTTCGAACAGAATTAGTGAAAAACATACTTTTAAAATGTTTTTTATACACTTGATGAGAACACCATTATTTGCTTTAAAGAACTTTTTTATGGAAACTAAAATGGTTTGTCACAAATAAGTATTTCCACCAATCAATTAACTTTAAAAAATTTATTTTTGATTCTTAACGCATGGGTTTTGAATAGCAAATTCATGGTTATATGTGTTCTCATAGTATCTTTCAAACAACTAATCAAACATTATTAGAATTAACTGTTAGCCTTTTTTAGATAAAGTAATTATTAGATTGAAGTGCCAATAATGATTGCAATTGAAATGGTGGTATCATTCAACTAACAACAGAGTAACTAGAGGTAGAATTTGAATAATAAAATGTTAAATCTAAATTAATCTACTTCTCTATGTATTAACAGAGGTGTTGCAGAAAAAAAAAAAAACACGTATATAATGAACCCTCGATTGAAAGTAAAGGAAATAATAACTTCAATCACATTTTGTAATTTTAAAGGGTTAATAGCATCTATAATCTCTAAATTTTTATTTAAATTTTATTTTGATATTTAATTTTTAAAAAATTTTAATCAGATTCTCAATTACTCAAAATTATCTTATTTTGATCATTTCATCTATAAAACTATCTATATTTACAATAAATATTAGTTGGTGTCATGTTATAAGGTCAGTTGACATCTCATATGATAGAGGAGAGACTAAAATAGAATTCTCTCAAAATTAAAGAATCAAAGATGAAATTATCTCAAAATTATATATATTTCATATTTTTTTATAAAATATTAAATTTAAAATTATATTTTCATATTTTTGTTGTAATATAATTTATTAGTTATATTTTTTTGTTTTCAATTGAAATAGATTTTAAAAATTAAAATTAAATTAAAATAAAATATTTTTAAAAATTCAATATTATTGTAAAACGAAAAATTTATTATCTATTAAAAATATTATTTTACTCATAAATCATAATAAAAAATATTAATTTTTACCGAAAAATATATATTTTTCAAATAGTAAATATCTTTTATTTTCCTTTTTTAAATATATTTTATAAAAAATAAGAAAGGAAAAAAATAAAAATAATTAAAGAAACAATTGATTTTTATATATTTCAAATATATTTTACAAAATATTGTAATTTTAAATATTTTTAAATTTTTATTCTAAAATGATTTATAAATAATATAATATTTTAATAATAAATAGAATTTTAAAAAATAAAAATTAAGTTAAAATTTTCAACACAATTTTTTAAAAATTATATATAATTTTAAAAAATTAAGTAAAATTTTCTATGTTGGTTTTAGAAATTAAATAAAAATTCCATATTGTTTAAAAATATTATGTAAAAATTTTCATATAATTTTAAAAAATAGATATATTAATCTACTTTAAAAATACATTTTCTATCCAAAAATCTAATTTGAATCTATGTTTTATTTTTTATAAAAAATATTTTATGAAATATATTTAAAAAGAAAAAATAAAAGAAATTTAATATTTTAAAAAATAAAATTTTTTAGATAGAAAATAATAAGTTTATTATGACTTATGAGTAAAAAATATTTTTAATAGAAAATATTTTTTTAAATGTATTTAAATTTTTAAAAAAGAAATTTGAAATTTTTAACTTAATTTTAAATTTGAATATCTATTGTTTATTTAAAACAAAAAAAAATTAAAAATTAACTAATAAGCTATATTACAACAAGAGATATAAAAATATAATTTTAAATTTAATATTTTTTAAGATATGCATAAAATATATAAATTTTTGAGATAATTTCATCCTTAATCCCTAAGCTTTGAGAGAATTATACTTTGGTTCCTCCTTGCCTCCATGACTGCTTATTGATGTCATTAGAAGGTGTTAATTGGCATTTAACGTCAATTTAGATAGTTTTATGGACAGAATGAGCAAAGTAGAATAATTTTGAGTAATTGAAGATCCAAATAGAACTTTTTAAAATTAGAGATTAAAATAAAATTTGAGTCAAAATATATAGACTATAAGTGTTGTTAACACAAAATTTTAAATTATACTTTAATTAGATTGCATTATATCCCAACTTTTTACATTTCATTTGTCATAGTGTGGGGGCTCGAGAACCAATTGCATAGATAGAGTTTTAAAATTAAACAAGTGATTAGCATCAATCCTTTTTGGTAGATGTAATTGCTCATCTAAGAAAACTTATCTTTTTAACAAAATTTTAAAATTAATTAAAACTTATTACTAAGATAGTTTTTGGTCTATGGAAAAAAAAATGAGTCTAGAAGCATAGTAATATTTGGGGAAGGATTAGCACCCCATAATATTCATTTTAAAATGATAATAATTGATCACATATTATCCCTTGCGTTGATAAAAAAGGTCTTAACTTTAATATTTAAAATAATTTTATTTATTTTTTTACAAAATTCTTTTAAAATATTTTGTTTAGGAATAAAATAAAAATCTTTTGTTTTAAAAATTTTTTCTGAAGTCCCCAATATCTAGTCGAAATTTCAAAAAGTATTTCTTCACTTGAATTCTCATAATAAACCTTAAAATCAGATATAATATACCTTTATAAAAAATAACTATTGAGAATCCCTCCAATATCTAGATAAGATCCAAAAAATTATTTTTAACTTAAGAATATTGGCTTTTTATTTCTAAAAAATCAATTTTTCAAATATTTATTTTAGCTATTTCACTCATATTACCAAGAAGTACAATGCATATGACAAAATATGAAATGGATGGTGCGAACAAAAATCAAATAATAACAATAAACAATTTTATTCCATTCTTTTCAAATATTTTATTTTTAGGTCTTTTTCATTATCTCTTTAATCAAATATTTAGAAATAAAAATTTTTAGGGATGAAAATTTTCTTTCATTCCCTAATATTTAGGTAAATTTAGGAAAATTGATCATTTGTTTAAAAATCTTATACTAATTTTTTAAAATAAAAATAATATTTCTTAGTAGAAATAAACATTTAAATTTCTTCCAATATCTAGACAAGATTTCTAAGGTCATTTTTACTTGGAAATATTATCTTATTTTTTTGAAAAATATCTCTTTTTTTTCTTAAAAAATCAATATTTTCCCATACCACTTTAATTATTAAGAAATAAAATGCATATGTTGCAATATGGGATAAATACACAAATAATGCAAATGAATAAATGATGAAAATAAAAAATAAAATGATACAAATAATCAAATTTATTTCTCATCTTGCAAAATTTAATTTTATTATAATTTTTTTATCATCCTTTTATTTTTTCTTCCAAAGAATATTTAGTTACAAAAATAAAAATCTTTAGTGTTGAAAATTTTCATTTAATTCTCTGATATTTAAGTAGAATTTAAGAAAATTACTCTTTCACTTTAGCAATTTACATGATAATTTTTTAAAAACAAAGATAATATTTTTTTATAAAAATAATTTCTAAAATTTGTTCCAATATCTAAGTAAGGTCTCAAAATTATTTTTACTTAATGATTGTGTTTTTTTTTTTTTGTAAAATCTTCTAGACACATATGATTATTATATATTCATATTCATATTTTTATTTATTTATTTTGAATACATTGATCTAGTAGGCTGGTATACCTTATTTGTTGAATTAGGTATGATGTCTGATGATATGTTGGTATCTATTATTTACACTTGGATATTTGTGAATTATTTTACTATTTAAATATATATTATGGAGTATGGAATGGATTGAAGACATTATTACTTTTTGAAGTTATTGTTTAATGTCTTCAGTGAAACATCTAATATGAAGGTAAGAGACTTGAACTTGATATAGTGTACTTTATATTATGTAAATATGTAATAAGGCATAAGCTACTAACTATTGTTTAGTGTTCA